TTCAAAACACTGACCAAGAATCACCTTTTTGGACAGGTTTTTAATGTGTGATTAATGCCGTGTCTAAATTTGACTTTTTATCTTATTCCTCTGTAAAGCGTCTTCAGAGCACCTGAAAAGTGCTTGATAAATACAATTTATAATCATTATTATTATTATATATATTTTGTTCTGACGTTGGCAGAGGTAGCCTTCCGAACTAATTTATCCATTATTGAAATTACTTTAACTATATATAGTTACAAAAAGTTGCCAATGATTAATTTTTGGGGCGAACAAGATATAGATTAGTCGACTTATCGTTGCTGCTCTAGAAATAATTATTATTCTTTTTTTTCTTACAGGGTTTTGAAGACAGCTGAACTGTTTAACTGCAGCCGTGCATCATAACAACTTAAGACCCTTTAGAACAAACGCTAGCCTGTCTAGCCTGATGCAAGAGTGTCTCTTATCCCTACAGATAGCAGGGGACCAACCAAAGTCTCAAAATGAACTACAACACAAAAGGAGTTTCATTTATGATGATGTAAAAAGCAACTACAATGGGGAACTCCCTGACTACTGTGCAGTTCATTGCAGTTGGAGGCTCTGTGGTGCTTCCAGTTTTCCTGCATTCCCGCTCCGCTGTCAACTCTGGGGACAATGTGGCGAGACTCTAATAAAAGCAGACACACAAACTCATCACCCTTTATCACCTTCAACCTCTCCCACGGTGACCTCAGCAGCACCGACGCCTGAGTGCAGAAATATCTCGCTGTCACTTAGAAAGCTGCCGTCAGTTCGGACCATAAGAAAGTGTTTTAGGTTGTGGCGTTTTCTGTCTTTCAACTACATGTGGCAGACGTGGTTTAATGGCTGTTGATTGACAGAAATGTTTTGATGATCGATCCTTATTTTGTTATTTTTCAGCAAAGATATCTGAAATATATGAATATTCAAAGTTTTATAAACTGTATCCTGCCTTTCACTATCTTCTGATATTTTATGAATTTAATTAATTCATGAAATACATTGCACAGGATTTATTGCTAGGAAAATAGTTCCTATTAGTTAGCTTTTTTTTTTGGGTTACGTTCTCTATAGCCATAAAGTATTTTATAATTATTATACATTAATTCATCATGCGTCCCCTTTTGTTGTTTCCTCCTCATTGTGAGTAAATCCATATATTAATGGTGGCGTTTCCTTTCTGGCTATATGTATCTTTTCAAAACCAATGAACTTACGGATTGCAAACAAGAGGCTGTGAATAAAAAAAGATATAATAACAGCCTCCTTTTATATCTTTCACGATTAATCTGCATTATTTTTGGTTTAATGCCAAAAACTCCTTATTTAACTTTGTTCTTTTCTGCATCCAGTTCAAAGTTGCTGCAGTAACAATATAACTTCCCGCACAATTAAACCTCACTTCATCATAAATCTGCTGCGTGACAATTATTCTATTTAGCTGTTGTGCCTCCGGGAGGTTAAATTAGGGGCATATCAGCGAGGATAGTCACTTTCTTGGGCCAAAGACTCATTGGCATTATTTACGACATTCAGACCTCCAAAATGACCCTCTGTGATCCCGCTGTAAGGACCAACAGCAGTCTGGGGGCAGGGCTGTTTCCCAAGTTCTTCTTCCTGCTTGCACTAACAGGCTGTGAGCTTCCAAGTCTCTGAGCTGCAGGAGGCGAATGGATTGTGACATGGAGATGGCGACGTGCAGATTGACCATCTTTGCCATTTGAATAATCAGCTTAGTGCGAGGTGAGAGTGCGACGCAGGGAGAGCACACTGTCAGCATCTTGTTATTACACACAAAGGTCATCGCTTCAGTCCCTGACACTCGGCTTCATCTGATAAACTTCACTCACTCTTTGCTCCCCGGCTGTCCATTCACACACTGCATTAAAGCAGCACTCTGTGGCTCCAAATGTAAAAACTGTTTGGACAACGTGGACTTCAATACCCAGAAATCCTGTAACAAATTGATACTGTTGGCCTCACAGCGAAAGAACCAGAGGATATTGTTTCATTTTCAGTAAGGCCCAGATTTGTCACTTTCTGTGGGCGGATAAATGAGCATACCAGGCAGGACAATTTCATTTTGGGCAAATTGTCTGAATCTAAAGCATGTGTAATCTGACTGTAACATGTGATTTCTGTGTCTGTCTGTGTCTCTGCAAGGATTGATATTTATTGAGGACAGGATGTGGGAGGATTTATTTGGAGGCGAGTGCAAACCTATCAATAGTTTATCATGGAGGAATTTGGGTGTTTCACCAGAAAATGTATTTGTATCATTTTTATTTCAATTTAAACTTTAATAAATGCATAAAACGTGGTTGTATAATTGAAGGAAAATTGTAAATATTGATGAATTTTCGGTGAGGATCAATACAGTTTCAGTCTCATAATACCACATTTAAGCTAATACATTACATTTCAAATAAGAAAAAGTAATTAAAAATAATGTGATTTGAATCTAGTTTTTAATATATCAAGTTGAGCAATTCCACAATGTAGAAACTATTGTGCAGGCATTTGTTAAAAAAACACCAAAGCTTCACTTCTGAGTTTATCTTATGCACTTTATACTTGCAGGGTTTTATGAAGATGTATTAACGTTATGAAGGGGCCAGCTTGGTGATCACAGGGAAACATGTTTTTAAAAGTTGGACTTCACTTTCAAGCCGATTTCATTCCGAAAAATTGGATTGAGAGAGTTTGATAATAGAAATTAATTAAACTTTTTCCGCTATTAATGAGAATGTGGCCGCTTAGAAAAATAACTCTCAAAGACCCTAAAATTCAATTACTTTTACACTATAGTTTGACTTCATAGGAAAAGATTTCAGAGGTCTATACAAGGTTGAACAGGCATTCCAGCTAAAGCAAAGCCCTGACACATCTATCACTTTTTAGGGGGGTTTGTCGTGAATGCTTATATTTGTGGGCCATAGTAAATGTTTTATCTACTGGAGAAGAAAAGGAAGTACAGTACATAGACGTTAAGGTCAATTTAAAAGAGTCAGCTTACTTCCTCCATCTCAGCCCTGCATAAAAACAAAATGTTCTTAAAGTCTGAACCAAGTCTACGCACAATCATATTGCACTTGAGACTTTCTAAATGGGACATGAAGCATTATGTTTTGCTCACAATAAATCAAAAATATGTTCCTGCTACATATTACTTCAATATAAGTTTAAGAAGATCTCTTTTAAATTCAAACTATCACTTGCAGATGTTTTTCTGTCACAACTTTAAAAAACCCTTGAATTAATCAACAGTCAAATCCCTTTGGGTTTCTCATTTGTAAGCAATTAAAAAACAGCACAATGGACAGTGAGAACTTGCATATGAAACACTTTGGCAGTGAAGCAAATCTCCTATTTCTGAAAGTAAAACCTCCGAGGTCTAAGCGAGTCACAGCAGCAACACTTTCACATTTTCCCTTTAATTATTGTAATCAAATACAGCTACAGAAACAAAAATAGCCAAAGCAGTAAGTAAAAAATCTGACCACAGAAATTGACTACAAAAATAAAACCAGGAGCGGCTGTCATCAAAGCCTCTGAGAATCTATCGACAGAAATAAATCCCAGATGCAAGACCAGGCTTTGAAGATGCAATAAGGTGGGTGAGTGTGGGCGTATAATACAATTACAATGCTGTCAAACCCAAAGTGACATTTGCCCCAACTAATACCAGAGGACAAAAACTCAATCACTGCTGAGATGTCACAGTTAAGCCTAGGACCATAGACTGTATATATAAAGCCTAGGACAGACTTATTTATTTCCAAACTTTCACAAGGACTTCATCTTCATGGCTCATTATGTCATCCAAAAGCCGACTAAAGAGACCCCAACCTGACACATTTAAGTGCTAAATGTTGCTTACGTTTCGCATTCTCCTCCTACCACTTTTTTAAAGCTGCATTGATCAAATGTTTGATATTAACATTTGATCACCCAACAATGTTGGCCATAACAAACAAACCCATAGAAAGTCTCTCATCTCTAATTGCCCTTGTAGCCTCTTTAAGCTCATTGTTTTGGTTTTACGGCTATTTTACAACAAGGTTTCTTTCTTATTAAACTTGTTTCCCGGAACGCAAGTTCTTAAAGAACAACCTTAGACAAACCCACTGCACACTTCCCACTAATCACCAAACAGCAAACACATACATATAACTTAATCCTAAACACAACGAACTGTTTAGCAGAGACAGATATCATTTTCAGGAGTTGGTGGAGACCAAAACTGAGCTAAAATAAAAATAGAATGAAAGTAGCTCCATTACTGTTGCGTGTGTAAACAGGAAACTGGGATGTGTGTGTATTTTGTGATGGAAGTTGGATTAGGTGATGAATTGTGGGCTATAGGCGCACCACTGTAATGTAGCCGGGGAGCTAACTGCTAACTTGCTTGTCTGTCAAAGTTAACTGTCATTTAGCTAGCTACATACCCTTGATAGTGCTGAGCAAGTTCAATCCATATGTAATAATATATAAGAGAGGTGTAGAGTACGTGCTACCAGGGTTGGGGAGTAACTTGTTATAACATTTATTATAAGTTATCAAATGATGTTATCAAATAAAAAATCTATGTGATTTTTTAACCACTAAACATTACTGAAAGAAAAATACGTAATTGAACCAACTTACTAAAAAGCTGGTGATTACAAAGGGGGATTTTTTATTTAAACTTTTTATTTTGTTGCCCAGTTCCAATCTTAAATTCAAGTTATATTGAAGTACCTATAATACAAGTTTTTTAGTCTTAAAATATTGTTGTTCCAAAATATTATACAAAATATCACTTTTGATTAACTGTTCATTCTTTTTTTGATTAATATAGTGCATTTCTTTTTGTTAATATTAAAAACAATTCTGCAGTTTTTTTAGCCTTTGTTATTTCTATATACAGATACAGAGGGAGCCGTTGGTTGTCATATGAAATGTCTCAGGGTGAAGCAGCAGAGTGAAGCAGCAGAGTGAAGCAGCTGTACCTTGGAGATGAGCTCGTCGTGGTTGGCCAGGTGCGCCCGGCAGTGGATGCAGCTGTAGGTGCGGTGGCAGCTAGGCAGGTAAGCCTGGAAGGTCTTTGACTTGGTCATCTTCACCATGTCAGTGGGGCAGGGCTCCTCGCTGGTGTCCGGGCTGGCACTGGAAGAGTTGCAGCTCTGCTGGACTTGCGGACAGAAGAAGCACTGGAAGATGCAAGCCAGAGCCGTCGTTGTTGTGGAGTGGGTGTGTGGCACGCTCCACACAAACACCACAGGAGAAAATCAAACCTGCAGGGCCAAACGGAAAAGAAAATGTGGTGAGAGACGAGTCCCATACCTTCTATTTTTAGAGCTCATTACTTGTATTGCCTTCCCAATATGAAACTCTGCTTGTTCCTCAGAAGCAAGCATTTGATCTAGTATGTGATCACACCCGCATGTTGTTGTCTACCAACAGGGCTGTGCGATGATGCAACCTAATATTATGACACGCCAAACCAACCATTGTTTGTGTAAAGCCACAGAACACGTTTCACTTGATCACAATCTATTTTTTATTTAAAGTCTACATCAGGAGCATCAGGTTTTTTTGTTTGTTTGCATGACAGGAAAAGCATGTTTTTCACAAAATCTCTGTAAAGCAAGACAACTTCATTCACTTCAACGTTGTGTTTTATTATTATATTATTATTGGGATCTGTGAATCACTGTATCTATTTAAAGTACAATTTTAGAATTTCTATTATCATGTTTATTCACAATTATTATGGCATGCAATATAATAACAAATATGTCCTTGAACTGTTGATAATTACATAGGAAACAGTACATTGAGACATCAGTTTAACAAGACGTTACTTATGGTACTTGTTTTGGTAGCATCAAGCTATCAATTGACATGTGCTAGGTTTTCTAATCAACCAGAATACATGTTTTTATTAATTTTATATTTGTAGTTTGGGCTATCATTTCTATAAATTATCATGAACAGATTGTACTGTTCAACAAAGTCAGAAATCTTTTGGTTTGTTAAACTACGTGCAGACTACAGCAGCGAGTGCAGTTTGTCAAGTTGAACCAGGAGGACAGTCTGGAAAGTGTAACTGATGTCCAACCCAAATAATTGGAGTTATAACTTTACTGTTTGCCTTTGTAGTCCTTTACAAATGAGTTTGGCTAACCTCTGGGTTTGTTTACGGACTGTCGGATCATCTGCTCGTGTTTCTGGCCCCGCCGGACTCCTCTTTAGTGTCCTCGTTCCCCGATCTCTGCAGAAGTGTTCAGGTCCTCTACTCCAGTGAAAGTTCCAACTCTGCAGTGAAGAAACAAGCACAAGAACATACATAATATACTATGAGAAGTACACATTTCAGAATCATATACATATCACTGGATTATAATTATTGATGATTTAATGGCCTCACTTATATGATGTTTTAATGAATTTGTATATTGCTTAGTTGCTTAATATTATAATATATCAATAATAATATTTTTGGGTGATATATTTTGTTATTAATAAAAACATCTAAAGTACCCTAATATATTCCAGCAATTCCTTTACTCGATACAATTGTCATCACTTACAGAAACACAAATGATAAAAAATGTGATCCAAGTTGTATACAAATGGAACATGATTTGATCAAAATAAAAGCATACACAACAAAACAGGGGAGACAAAAAGCACACAGAAAAATACAGCATAACAGAAAATACTGTTATAGAAGCTTCACCATGTTGTCATGGCTGAGATGAGTTTAGCATGCCTGCAGGGGAGTCAGGTTTACAATAACATCTATTCAGGCGTACAAAGAAATACTGTATTTCAACACACAACATGATTTACTGTCGAAAAAAGAAAAAAGAAATACAACTTTTAAACCAACATTAAAATCGTTAGACACATTAGGTTTTATCCAACCTATTCATATTCAAATAATATATTTTCTCTCCCTCCTTTAATATGTACACACTGCTTCCTTGATTCCACCCTTTAAGACCCTTATCATTTATCTTGTTTATTGACTTATCATTATTAATAGATTTGCTTGTTTGTGTCCGTTGTTTAGAGGGTTATAAAACCTCAGCTGTCAAGGAAAGTGTTGTCCCTGAAAATATGTGTTTGGAGATGTAGGCTGTCGTGTCTTGTATCTATGTTATCATCAAATAATAGCTTTAAAATCATGTTGATTCTGCTCTGATATTTATGGCACGAGTTTGATTTTGGTGAAACTGGATCATATTTAATTTGAAAAAATGTGCCCCTGCTTTAGTGCCGACCTGTAGCATGCGAGTCATAAAAATACAATTTGATTAACTGATTGATAACGCTGCATTATTAAATAGTTGGCCTCTTGGGGGCAGCAGAAGAAGCTATAAACAAAAGATAACATAAAAAGTGCTGCAGGAATTATTCCTAAAACCTCATACAAGCTCAGTGTCTAACACAACATTTTAACATATTCTTTTACGACATAAAATACGTTAGTTAATTTACCCACTTTTAATTTGGAAGCTTTTATGGGTCTTGAAATAGGCCTGGCTAACAAGTGGCTAAATGGGATTCCTTAACATCATCCCACTGCCAACAACTCTGTATTAAGTCATGCATTCATTTGTATACTAACTTGTTGATGCCAGAGGTCAGAGGAGAATGGCAAGACTGGTTCAAGATGATAGAAAGGCAACAGTAACTCAAATAACCACTCGATACAACCAAGGTATGCAGAAGAGCATCTCTGAGCGCACAACACGCTGAACATTGAAGCAGATGGGCTACAGCAGCAGAAGACCACACCGGTGCCCCTCCTGTCAGCTAAGAACAGGAAACTGAGGCTACAATTTGCACGGACAATAGAAGATTGGAAAAATGTTGCCTGGTCTGATGAGTCTCAATTTCTGCTGTGACATCATCTCAAACTGGTTTCTAGAACATGACAATGAGCTCACTTTACTCAAATGGCATCCACAGTCACCAGAACTAAATCCAATAGAGCACCCTGGGGATGTGGTGGAACGAGGGATTTGCATCATGGATGTGCAGCGGACAAATCTGCAGCAACTGTGTGATGCCATCATGTCAATATGGACCAAAATCTCTGAGGGATGTTTCCAGCACCTTGTTGAGTATGACATGACATCATATTATGAAAATGCTCAAGGGAAAGTACACGTTTTTCAAAATTGCAATTCAGTACAGAACTTGATTGCATCCAATTGGTTACAATGCACACAATTGTTACCTGGTACTTCTGTAAAAGAGTATTTTTACTTATTTAAAAAAAGAAAAGGCTAAACATTGTCCAAAAAATGGCAAGTGTATAAAATATGGGAAAACTACCTATTGTCTTTGAGTAGACGACAACAATCACCCTGCAGCATCCTGACAGTGAAAACACAACAGGCTTCAATGCAGAAGTTTCCAGTGGAGCTCAATAAACTGCAACAGGAAGAACAACAGCACTGAGACACAGAACAGCAGCCAGACAGAAAACAAAGAGCTTCCGCAACGCAACAGGAAGCAGCCCTGACCTGAAGCATGGCTGCCCTGCAAACACAAACATATTTACACAACTTGGACTGCCCAAGACAGGAGGAAATCTGTCAGACTGACCCCGTGGCCCCCAGACGAGACATATTTACATTCATGTACTGTATAATCTGCACAGGTGCCAGGGCATAATCCCTGAATGAACAGGACCCAATCCCCTTCTGAATTACACACACACACACACACACACACACACACACACACACACACACACACACACACACACACACACACACACACACACACACACACACACACACACACACACACACACACACACACACACACACACACACACACACACACACACACACACACACACACACACACACACACACACACACACACACACACACACACACACACACACACACACACACACACTTCTTTGTTTGTTTTGGTCCCTGTAAAGCCAAGTTGCTCACTTCAGTGCATCTGTCAGCCCGTGGTCTTATTTGTGTTAACTTTTTATGGTCTTACTTTATAATTTACTGTATGCTTCTTTGAACATTATAGCTGAAAAAACGTTTAAAGATGCCTTGAATCCTACAAAACATTTTCCTGACACGAGAATTAGTGATTCTTTTGTTACAGGCTTCCTCGTCACATGGTAGCCCGCCAGCTCAACATTTGGGATTTCAACGATGTTTTCTTTATTGGGGTAAATCAAAAGAGTATTTTAGGGGTAATGTAAGTCGAGTCGACAGGTAACACAGCAGGAACGGCTGATATACAAACTGAGCGAGGTGAAAACAAAGAGCACACTGCGTGTCTGGTAACCATTAACAGGAAGAAGTGTCCAGACAAAGACTCGCTCAACACACCACTCTATCTTCCCCTCAGAAAACAGCACATTTATCCCGACATGTAATTATACCAACATTATTATATTCCATATAAGTTAATTATTTCACGGCAGGCTCGTGCAGCCCCCCCTTTTCTAAAATGTGTTTATCCCCAACAAAGAGCAGCATCGCGAGCTCTAGTGCAACAGTGTCTGTGAATCCAGCACGACACCAGAACCAGGCTTTGCGGTAGACATGAACCTGATGCGGTACTCACCACCTGGGTCGGTTCGGAGCAGAAAGCAGCTGAGTGGAAAACTGCTTGCCGAAGAAAGACAGAGGTTTTTTTTCAGTTTGTTGTTGTTTTTTTAAGTTGAATAAATCATTGTCGCCGTCCCGGGCTGTGGTCCATGTGTGATGCTGCCAGATGCGAACTTATTGTTGTGTCCTTTAGGTGCTGACGGATCTCATTTTTCCCAAAACGGGCTTTTGTTGTGTCTTTTGTGTGCGTAATGGACTGGCTCGTTACTTTGGTAAGAAAACGTCACCACGTGGGAGGGAGATGGAGCTTTGACTGACAGAGAGGGCTGACCAATGGGTGGTTGCGCAAGCTTCAGGCTCCCGTGGGAAAGATGGGAACCAAGGTGATATTAGCATTTAGGTGGTAATACATGTTTTTAGTCTTTTGTTTTTTTGTCTGGAGTTAATCTAATGTTGTATTAGGAATGAATATCCTATTGAATGTGTTTTTAAGCATTTTCAACTTAGTGCAAATCTTCTATTAAAATGTATTGCAACTTCCTAACATATGTACACAAACATTGCTTTATTACAATAACAATGTCATTTATATATGTGTATACTTGTGTGTAGTGTGAATGAGCTAGAGTTTATATTTCATTAGGTTGTAAAATTACAAATAAATACACCTTGAACTTTATTTGTGTGTTTATCTGTGACATTATTTTTGTGTCAATACAGTTAGTTACTATGTATGTATGGTGTATGTTGTTTTCATGATGTACCTTTTATTGTTTTTGACTATTTCTAGCCTATTCTATAAAGAGTTTCTTATGACATATGTATCGTTATTTAGTTATTAAGGTTAATAAAGGTTATTTTTTTCCATGAAAACGTTTTTAGTTGAGGTCAAGTCAAGATACTATATTTTGGATGTTTAAGAAGCATTAGGTAGTTGACACCAATGTTTACTGCTTTACAACATTTAGTCAAAAGCATCACATGCTAAGTGTTGATGTGTCAGAGGGATTCACTCAACTAAATCATTAAAATGTTGTGTCAAAAGCACTGAACGTTTTTATTATTATGATTTGACATAGCTGAAGTGCATATTTCCCATGCGGCATGAACGAGACTAACCGAGAGGAGGAGGGAGTGCGAAGCTACCCGGATGTGTAAATAAATACAAGATTAGAATATAAATCTGACTTCTTTCTCTATAGCAAAAACATATCATGGTGGTTTGTAATGGTCAGGGACCACCTAAAGCTCTTTGTATTATTTATGGGAAAGCCACATTTTGTTTATTTACGTTCATTTAAATGAGCAATTGCTATTTCTGTATTAATCCCATGTGGACTGATCAAGTAGCAGAGTGGGCTCAAATCCTTGAACAGATGGGATCCTGCAATGTTTTATAAGGATGTCAAAAAATGAAAAACATACAACCTGAAAAACATGCAAACTGAACACACACACACACACACACACACACACACACACACACACACACACACACACACACACACACACACACACACACACACACACACACACACACACACACACACACACACACACACACACACACACACACACACACACACACACACACACACACACACACACACACACACACACACACACACACACACACACACACACACACACACACACTACAGGTTAAGTTTATAAATAGATCAATAGATGCCTCTGCCAGGCTATATATTTAGACCATTGAGACATAGCTGACGCTCTCATTTTTCGTTTACAAATTGAAGAACAAAACAGCAGCCTGGCACACACAACAACACCACCTCCTCCTCCTGCTGCACTGTTTGTCTCAGTAGGCTACTGTATCATCCTGACCTGACATTGAACAGATCCACATCTGAAATAATGCCTAAATGCTTTAAGAATGACATTAAACGAATAAAATAACTAAAATGAAACAGCAATCCGGTTCTTTTCTCCCTAACAGAAGCCTGCCCTCGTCCTACCCTTGCTGTCCTGACGGCGAGCACGCGCGTCCGCTTCGAGACTACAGCCATAACTCATAATTGACTCTCATTTCATACTGCCATTCATTAATGAATAATATGTTGACTATGTTGTGTTGCAATACTCCCTAAAATAGTTGCTTTACCATATGGACGCATCGCATGTAAACAACATGGCACACTGCAGCTTCCCTCATGGTGCGCGCATGAGCGTTATGAAATCCATCCCTTTTACTGTGTTTTTGTCGCCTGTTCACGTGGCATCATAAGCCCCCCCAAAACTGACCGAGATCTGCATCCAGGGATATGATGATGGTGATAATAGCCAGAAATCATCATCCGCTGCAAGGATGATGTAGCCCAACTCGAGGATCAAATTGCAAAACGTGTCTCATTAAATAAAAGAGACATTGGCAGCAGGCAGTATAATAAAGTGGGTTATTTTAGACCCACCGTTTTAAATCATGCTGAACTGTCATCCTAGAGGAGCAGGAATACATAAAAAAAACGACAAAAATACCACTCTTAGAGTTTACAGAGAGTATTGTGCAAATGTGCTTGTTACCAGAATGTTAAAATGGTTTTCCTGCAGTGAATAGTTTATTAGCCCTACATGTACATGCATCACAACACACAAGAAACCTAATCCTGCGATTAATTTAAGCTGTAGCCTACAACACAAATACATAAACAGCAGGCTATAAATCCCCTTGTGCAACAGGAAACAAACATAAAATATATAACAGATAGAAAGTCACTACCAATAGACACAGTTTAAAGTGTCTGATGTGATATAACAACAGGTATTACAGTCATTATTGTGACAAACGCACGCGTGTCCTCGAGCAGGTCACTGGCGCGGCACTCACCCCCAAAACACTTCTCCTTCCCCCTCTTGGAAACCAAAACAACCCGGTGAAGGAGTCGCTTCCTCCGCTGGAGCTGCAGGATATTATTACAAAACATGTAAAAATGATAATGACACCTTCACGGTCACATATAGCTATTGGGAGTCTGTGTAGTTTGCGCAACGTGCCAGTAGAAAGTCTGCAAAAACATCGATGGATCTTCACTGCGCTCTTGTGCCAAATAGTTTTGCGTTGAACCGTGAACAACTCGGGATTTCTCTGTAGGTCCGGTTCGAGTATAGTCCCATCCGTGAGGCGGGTCAGAGTGTGTGCATGTTGGAGCAGCTTGCAGCTCTTTGAAGGGGTTTAACCTCTATATAGCTTCTCCGACATCAGCGGCAGGACAAGCCGAGCTGTCCCGTCTGCGGCCTTATTTATACTGAAATCCTAATTAGCTCCGTGATGCGCAGCGCGCTCTGAATAATGCAGAGACACATTCACGACACCGGATATTTCAAAGAAGACTGTCTGCTCGGGTTTAAAGTGTTTATACTAGGATGGGGATTCATTTGGTGTGGTGGTTTCAGTCTAAAACAAATATCTAAAGTGCAGAATAAGGGCTGTTTCATTTCATCTACCGGTGCTGCGTTTATGTGCTGCGGGACATAGGAGAGTTTGGAATGGTGCGCACAAAACAAAAATATGGAACATGTCTGAACCATAGGTCTGAACATATCCAACATAAGAATCATCCCAAAGCACATTTGGTTTGTAGCCATTCACCACATCACAGGAATTCAACGAAGATAAAAATCAGCAACGAACACAGAACACACTTAAAAATATGGTTTTAAAAAACGTCAGAATTCCTGTTGGTACCAACAACAAGGGAACATTCTACATAGGCCTACCTGTTGATGAGGGCTTTAACACATCTGGGTTTCTCTCATAGTGGATGGAGTAGATCCTTTTTCATTGGGATCTTTTAGTTGTTGTCAAGTCTGGGTTATTTATAGCAAGTAGGCCTATGATGAAACATTCAGCATGGGACAAAGAACGAATCAGCCAAAGTAGACTACAGTTTGGAGTATGATTTCATTAGATATTTATAGTGTTAACTGTACACGTGTATTTCAGGCTTAAAGGGGGGTTTGTAAACTTTCGAACATACTTTGTCACAACTATAGGCCTACGTGGATATTTCATGGTTTTTTGTTAAAACGATAGGAGGAGAAATCATGTATGCCATGTCAACAGCTGATAACCTGTTATTATCGTGTGCTTCAGTATTACACTTTTACTCATCATGTATCTTATAGCCTCTTAAAGGTTAAACACTCCAGCTGCTGGGTGCCTTTCAGCTGTTACTTCCGACCAAAACAACTGAAAGCACGTCTTCATCTCTAAAATATCTTATCTTTGTAGAGGTACGTGAAGGCATCAGCAGCCTAGCTACACAGCCGCTTCTACAAATAGCCACCAATCAGCGAGAGGGAGAATCTCGAGTTCGGCCCGATTCCAAACCTCCCAGCGAAGTGAGCAGAACACAACTCCAGTCATATTTAGTGGCGTTTCTTTTTTGCAGAACCTCTTCAAGTTTTCAAATATGAGATCCTTGGTTTTTGCAATCGGACTAATCCGTTGAGAATGAGGGCGGGGCTACACACCCACAGCCAATCAACGCAAGGACAGACGCTCGACAGCGCGCTCGCGTGGCTAGGTTTGTTTTGGTTGTGCGCGCCACCGACATGCGTGACAAAAGCCAGTTTCCCACTGCGCGCATGCGTGGCCGCATTAAAAGCACGTGGTCAAGAAGGGCAAGTAAACAAACCCCTTAAATCCAGAGCCATATAATAGAATTCTATCGATATGACGCTGCTTAAATCAATACAGTTGATTCTTTTTAAATATACATTTGTACTGTAGATGTATGATACATAATTGTCAGGGTTACAATCTTATTTTCAGAATAGCCTACTGCTCACAAATATATTATTATGTATTCTTGATTGCATTTCCTTAACTTTCTTATTTAACTGTATTTATTTTAGTTTTTTATAAAGCGTTTGTAAAGCAAATGGCACACATTGGTATTCATGTTTGTAGATTTAGCAGGTTAATTATTTGTTATTCTTTTTTAAAGACAGAGGATTACCCAACTGTGTCAACAATTTATTGAAAACTGAACCTTTTAATGTTTTGCAGGCAACATAAAGGAATGACATTATTTTATGAATCACACTGCTGAATGGACAAAGGACAGACTGCAGTATATGTTATAGCTGGTACAACAGCGCCCCCTAGAGGACACTGTGGCATTCTACTACATCACACTACTATGAGTGAGATAGTAACATCTTAATTAACATTAAGACTTGTTGTGCCATAGTTACACATCTATACTACTATTTTCATATTTTGTTGCCAAAAGATAGATTATTGATTAAGAAGCATGCATCAAATATGAAAGATAAAAGTAGAAGTTACACAATTGACAAAATAGACATCCAATACCAGTCATTCATAATTCTTAGGGCTAGGGTTACTTGAAATTGAACTTAATTGATCACATTTTCACTGGATCTTATTTCGATCCAAAACTAAATAGATACACAATTAAAAATACTTTCGTTTAAATCACATGTGTCAAACTCAAGGCCCGGGGCCCAAATCAGGCCCTTGGTGGATTTAATGTCAGCCCGCAGGATAATTTTTAATTACTATTAGATCTGGCCCGCCGGTATATTGCACGCACACCTTCTCTCAATCCTGAGGGTTTCCTCAGCTCAGAGCCTGACCCCAAACATTGATGAACTTGCACCCAAGATGAGATGCCAAGTATCTGGCTTGAGCTAGCATCACAGAGCAGCAAACTGAGTTTAAATGGATGTTTCCTTTTGCACTTTGTTTCTTGAGACAACAGGGCATGTTTGTTTTTTTCTTTGAGGGAAATTGTTTTTTTGAAGCTGTTGTTGGCCTGTGGAAAAATGTAATCATAATTAATGACTCCGGAAAAGCTGCAGATAGAGCCATAAGAAATGAATGCAACTAATTATTTAATGTTTAATGTTGTTTTTAAATGCAATAATTTAAGCTTTGTTAGTTCCAGGTTTAATATGTGCAATAAGTTAATTTCAATAAGTTTTGCAATAAACATTGAACCAGTCCGGCCCTCGACTAGTACCGATTTTTTAATTTTGGCCCACTGTGTATTTGAGTTTGACACCCCTGCTTTAAATGATTGAAATTGCATCATTACATGACAGCGATGATTCATGGCTTCTAAAAGCTCTAATCAACTGGGTGGAGCCACATTTCTATGAGGAGTAGACTTTAATACTGAGATGAATGGTATATTTGGCTACGCAGACTCATATGCATTACATTCATTCACACAATGTTTAAATATTGCTTACTGCACATATTTTATATTCTATAATTGATTGCATTCTATTTCGATGTAAATTACTGCTTTATTTTATTGCTATCTTACTATATTTGTATTACAGTGCTCTTAATATAGTTCACTATCTGTGTACTTTTTACATTTTTTGTTTTAAATTTGTATGTATGCACCATGACATCAAGTCAAATTCCTCGTACGTGTGAACCTACCTGGCAATAAACCCGTTTCTGATTCTGATTGATATCTTGAGACTATAGGAAGTTTAACAAAAAAACATATATTTAGAGTAATAAGGATAGATCTGAGCAGTATCGCTTAAACTTCTGGAAAAAAGTGGTTAGAACACCAGCGTATCGCCTAAATATATTACCTGCATCTGTGGTGTATAAAGAAACTTGCAAACATCTCAAAGCATGGCAGTTCTTCGATATGTAACAGTTTCCTTTGTAATCATGAGCTGTAAGAAGCTGTCCTCGCCGCATTCATAAACATTAAAGGTAGGGTAGGTAATTTTGGAGAAACCAGCTCGAGTGCGCTAGAATTTGAAAATACACAACTTCCTTACAGAGCCCCTCCTCCAACACACACGAACGCGCACATGACCAATGAGGGCACGAGATAAGTTTGTGCACAGATGGAAGGCTGACAGGCAGGTAGGCCATCCAGTTACTTTAGCCGGGCCGGCTAAAATGATTGGTTTGATTGATTGATTGAAAAGTTTATTAACAGCTTGTATATTGGGTATAGTACCGTGGTCGTGCTTTTTACAGTAATACGGCTTCCACAGATGAAATGTTTTTATGTATTTATTGTCAAAGCATTTAATATATTCATTGCTATCGGGATGTTAAGAGCATTCCATGGAATATAACAAAAAGTGTTTCTGAAATAAATTACATACCCCACCTTCAGTGGCGACTGGTCATTAGGGGCAGGTGGGGCACAGCCCCACCTAGTGTCAGCAGAAAGTATTACACAATGATTACAAAAAATGCAAAGAGATGCAAAAAAAGAAATACAAAAATATATAAAATATATTTTAAGGTCATGTTTAATCATCTGATTCGTCTGTACATTGCTGTTTTAGTCTGTGTTCTTCTAATTAGTGTCTACAGTGCCGTTTTGACCCATGTGGGACAAAACCTGACCATGCCCCACCCACTCACTGTCAAAGTGAACGGTGACTGTAAAAACTACACTGCGCATGCTCAGAGTATTTTTCAATGTAATGTGTGTGGCAAAAAAAAAAAAGACCAAAGGGGCACAGAGCTGCCATCCCCACCATACGTCATCTCACATCATTCAGAGCTGATTGGCTGTAAGTACGTGTACCGCGAAAAGTGTGCTGTGTGAAGAGGAGACGAGAGAGCTGCAGTGACGCGTCCTAAAACCAGGAAGTAAGCTGCAAAAAAGCAATGAGGTTTCTACATACTGTAGGATTTTAGAAAATAGCTCGAAATAAGATCTGTGGGAAACGTACCTGTTAGATAAATGCACGTTTTGTTCAGCCGGATAATATCCACATGTCTACCCTACTTTTATAATTTTTTTATCATAAATCTATCGATTAGATTTATGATAGACTTTTGAAACTACAAGAAGATAAGGAGGACTTTTACAAAAAAGTTATAGACATTTTTGTCCAGAAGGATAGGCAAATGGACTTCATCTTCAAGTCAAGGTAAGACCGCAATTTTATTGAAAATGGGATCTTACTAAGAGAGAACAATTCAATATTTAAATGATAAAATTACATTTTTTGGGTATCCTTTTGTTGAACTGTCTGTTTAAAATTAATCGAAGCATCAGACAAAAAAAGCTTTTGAAAATAATATTATATTTTGGTTTAGGTCAAAATATAATATTTGTAAACCTGAAGAGTCAGTGCCAGTGCCTCACCAGCCATGAACCTCACTGCACGTCACTGCAGAAGCTTATATATAGACATCTAAGTTTTTTGTGCCCCACCACTTTTGTACTTATAAAAACGCCACTGCCCACCTTTAACCCAAATCAATTATGTTTTTGAAGTTGTGTGCGTTTGGTAGGCTTGCTCTTTATGGTTAAAAATATTACTTTTGGCAAAGCAATGGTGTTTGTTTTGTTTCTCACAAGACAAACAGTATTATTTTAAAACCATGATGGAATTGATTATGTGCAAATAGATTTCTTGTCACTGTTTACAAGTATTCCCAAGCTTTTCCTCTCAAGTAATTGACTATATAAAGGATCACATTGTTGAGCGGTCATATCTGTCTGTTTTACTCTCTTTTGCCAACAGCACGCTTTGTGTGCACATGAAAAATGTTACTTTAAAGGTTCCCTATTATACTTTTTTTCAACAATATATTATAGTTCTCAGTTATATACAAAACATGTCTCTGAAGTGTTTGGCTCGAAATACCAAACAGATCATGCATTGTAGCATCCCATAACCCCCTCTGTTTCAGCCCTGTTTCAAAAGTGCTGATTCTCTGTCTGTTACTTTAGATGCCAAAGAGCTGCTGGTGGCCACGCCCTTCTAAATGATGATTGGTTAAAAAGAACACAATGGTGCTCTCTAGGAGGAGATTCAGGTGATAAGGTGGGGGGGTGGGGTTACCTTGGTTGGTTATTGGCTAATGGTTACACAACCTTGTCACATCACAAAGTGGACAAAATCTGATCAGCTCATTTTCAGACAGGTTTTTATATAAATGGATTGGGAGAAAAAGAGAGAGAAGCTTTTTTCCTGAAACTTTCAGAATCTCTTTACACAGAGGGGACCAATATGTATGTATAAAAGACAAAAGTGGATTTTGCATAAAAGGTGACCTAAAATAAACACTTTTCCAATTCTATACCATACCCCTCAAGAAACATTACTTTTTAATGTTGTAATGAATGATTGTCTGCTTCCATTTTGAAATTATGTTTTTGGAATATAGTGTTTATACTGATCCTCTATCTAAATGTCAATGTGCTAAAATAACAAACATTAAACGACAGGGTTTTCAAAGTGGCAGTCAGTCTTTAATAATAGCAAAGAAATGCTTCGTACAAGTCAGATCCTTCACACGACAGCAAAATAAAACTGACCGATCAATTCAAACATTGTCTATGGCAGGTCATAGAGGGACCTTTAAAATACAACCAAGGATCTTACTTTTTCTCTTTCAGAAATGTTAACTACACAATTAAAGGTTTATACTGATTTTCAAAACATACAGTGAAGAGGTTCTACTGGAGACAACTCAAACAAGATTAGTGTCTGATAGAAACATAACATTCATTTTACATAAAAAAATATCCGCACAAAACTCCCCCCCCCCAAAAAAAAGGAAAATAAAAGGGTAACACATAATAATTGAAATGTTTGCTTTTTAGCATTTTCAATACAATCACAAATCACACATCTTTTAAAAAAAATTACAAAACTGAAGAGAAGGATAACCCCCGCGACCCCTCCCACCCTCAGACTTGATTGTTCATTTTTAAGAGCGTATACTGCGATTACAAACGGATTCCCGACTGAACAAAAGCTGCACATCAAATCTTGGATATCAAGACTATCAAAAAAGGCACACACAGACAGGTTGCACGAAGAACTCAGCAGAAGCTTTTTTATACAACTAGTCCCAGTAAGGTTTCCAGTGCCCTTTATGTTCTAATTGAACCCCCCCCCCAAAAAAGAATCTAAAAACTAAAGACTATCTACAGGCAAGTCAAGTCCCAGCAGGCACCTCGGATTAAAAGTCCTACTCCCAACTACTGTAGAAGTGCATGAATCATCCTGTGGCAGACGGTGTGTTCAGTGAGTGTACAGGGGAAGTTTGAGAGTGCAAAAACTGTCATTTCTGCAATGGAGTTTTGGTATTTTTTTTATTAACGTCTTCAGATTGGTTAAATCTGTCGATGGAAACACATTTTTTGTTTGTGTGTGAGCAAAGAGTAAACTGATCTTTTTTTTGTAATACTTAAGTTGTATGATATGTTCTGGTAACACTCTATTTTGCAGGTCTGGTGTATCCTAATATTTTCTTAAAAGCTCCCTGTATAATTGTGCACTTATTATAGGACACAAAAATAAAAATAAAGTTATAGACAGTTTTTTTCAGATGAGTTTCATGTGTTCAGAGGAATTTCCTCAACAGGATGTCATTTGTTAATAACTGTAAACTTACAAATATTGCACAATTTTGAATCTAACCTTCGTTCTGCCTTAAAGACTAGGTTGTGGTATTGTCGCAATTATGTGGACCAATTTAGCACTACAGGGATTCAAGCACCAGCTGATGACTTTAATCTTTAAAGGTTCTGATCAAGGGTTGTATTTTAGGGTAAAATACTAAACATTTTCCGTTAAAGAAAAAAACAATATCAGGGAAAGATTATCTGACATTCTTTTTTGACCAATCATATTAATAAATAGTCGGATCGGCAGGTGAAAATAATAGTTTGTTGTAACTCTATTTAACCCCGTCTCCTATTTACTTGTAATTATGGCCATACTATATAGTTCTTTGCAGTAAACCTGGAAATAATAACAATTTCAAGTAACACATCTGTTATGTCAGCATGCGAGCCATCTTGCTTTTGATAATTACAGATAATCTGAAGTGTCACTTCTTAACAACCTCTGAAAACCCCCTGGCTGCAGTGATGTAGAGGTGTACTATACGGTGTGTCGGTACAGCGTGACATCCCTGCTGGATGTGGTCTGAAGACCAGTTATGGCTTGAGTGCATTTCAGCAGAGCCTCCACACTAAGCCCCTTCTCAATTTCAGTCTATTATTATTGAGCCGGAACAATTAAAAGAAAAAACGGATTTATTTCAACCAGAGCAGCTCTGCCCTTAGAGAAATATTTGTACGACTCAATCTTTCTGAAATGTATGAGACCTTTATACTTCACAAATGATATATGACAATGCTGAAGCAGAGCTATGAAATTGTCTTATTTTATAATTAACTCTCTAATGTCTTACTTTAAGTGCCAGCATTCCTGAAGAATCCTTTCAGTCGATTTGAACTTCAATCTACTTTGAGACGTTTTAGTGTCGTGATTAATACTTCTTTGTTTCATTCATTAAGTCACTTACACAGCACTAAATGTTTTTTTCTTTTGAAGCTGCAGTACTGTAAGCAGACAAATGGCTAGGTGTACCATGAAACTAGTATATATGCTTGACGCTGCAGTGCTACTCAGATTAAATGACATGGTTGGTTGTTTTTCGCCACATATATTTAGACTTTGATCCTTTGCTTAAAATAAAAAATCTTTATATTCAACAGTCTTTAATCAGCGGTAACTGACAAAAACAGAAAAATGTGGCCTTGACTTCTGCTGTTTTTTTTGGCTGAAATGCGTTTGTCAGTAGTTACTGACACTGCCAACTGTTATCAGCCTGAAAATGTGCAATTCAACGCAAAAAAAGTCACAACAGACTAAATGGGAAAACCCGATCTGTTATGTTTGAGTATTTCTTTCAACTGTACCATGCCTGGATCCCATTTGTCCCATTTGGGAAACTTGTTTTGTGTTTTTTGTGTGGTTGGCATAAATACAGTAATATGGTTATTCTCCTATTTTGCAACCACAACAAGACACCTCAGCATGCAGGATGGAGTTTGGCTAGAAACGAGGAGTCTATAACCTGTAAATGGAAGTTACATAAACACAGCTAAAAAAGGATACCGGACAAAAAGCACCATGTGATTGAAAAGTGTGACATACCACAAAAGGTGGAACAGAAAGAGCCGGGCGCTGTCCCTTGGCTGGTGTGGCACTTTACATCGTTGTCTTTGTTTACAGAGCTTATAACAGTCATGCAAAGGGCACAGTATTATTCTAACAAGGCTTGCGAGAGAGGAATTAACAGAATGGAGATGAAGAGAAAAGAAAACATGTAACAGATAGAAAGACGAGGCACGACAACATTTCCTCCAGACAAAAACAAGTTCTGTGATAACTGCGTTGTTGTCTGAGCGCGGAAAATGTTCTCCCATGTGAAAAACATCATACTGTACATACAGACTCTTATGATATAAACAGACATTTCCTTTAGGTTGCTCGTGGCTAAGGCAGAAATTGATGGTGAAAATCTTTCAATGCACTTGTAATTTGTGCATTTATACACAACCCTGAAATTGTATCAAAGCCAATGAGAAATGAAGATGGGCATTTTTTGTTCGTGTTTGATGAAAAAATAATTAAAAAAGGAAAACATAATTGGTTATAAATGCATCTGATTCACCTTCGATCCTCACTCTTAACATATCTTAAGACTCTTTGGGCTATATTTTTATGTATATATATTTGCATTTGGGCCTAGTGAGTGTTGAGGATTAAAATAGGTCTTTATTAAAATATAGATCCTCATCAACACCAAGTCATGGCTTTTGGCCTGTTAAGTCGCTGATTATGTTATTTCATTGCATAAATCAGTTGATTTAATTCAGCAAAAAGATAAAGAGAGACAAAGATAGAGATCAATGTATCCCTTGTAACAAAGGTTAGAAAATTCAAAAGACCCCTTTTTTATGCTGAATGATTCTTAGAAGTGATATACTGTTTGTTCTTGCAATGAACGCAGAGTGACCATCAGGACAGTCGCACCAAATAAACACAACAGCTTGTGTATCACGCTCATTCCACTGCACATACAAAGGTCTTGGAAAGGTATAGCCAGAGCCAAACACCTTTGAGACACACAAAAACAATTGTTTATCTTGGCTTAAAACACAAAATCACCCCCAAAACTGTAAGCTGTGATGTAAACCTCCACATTGCCCCTCACCCCAGAGACAGAGAGAGAGAGAGAGAGAATAGAGAGAAGAGAGAGAAGAGAATGATTGATTGGTTGATTCCTGACGCCATTCCTGAGCAGAGTGGACTTGACGAGTGAGACCCAAGGGGGTGGGTGATGTGGACGACAGGAGAGGAAAAATAAAACCCAGAAAAAATAAACCAATCACAGCAACAGTGTGGAGGTGAGGAGGTGGCCACGCAGGAGCCAGTCCACAGAAACATCTGGGAGGAGAAAAAAAAAACTGGTTAGATTTGTTAACGGATATTATTATAGGGCTTAGTTCAATACTCAATTCTGATTGTTCAAATTAGACACTCAGCAGTCTGCTCTTTTTGGACAGAAGACCACTGCCTAGGACATCTGATAAAGGGGCCATGTGCAGTCATATCAATATCCGGATTGAATGTCAGCGATGGCAAAATAAACTCCATGGTCAGGAAAGCCTGTGAAATATCTTTTGGATATTGATTTTTATACTTTGGATTCAAGATGGATAAACTGTCCCCAGTGAAGAAAAGAAAAAGAGAGGAGGAACAAGATAGAAGGAAGGAAAGAAGTGATATGACTTAGAGAGCTGTAGGACAGAGAACTCCACAGAGGAAGACAGACAGGAATTAAACCGTATAGGGAACATGGTATGGGCTCTGGAAAGAAAAGTGAACATGAAAGTTTGGGAGCAGAAAACCTTGATCAGTGCTGGCGTCACTTGAAGTTATGTTTTGTTTTAGGGGAAGCAATACGGTCATTTATAAATCAATATGTACTAAGTAGCAGCGTACTAAGTAGCAGCGTAGTAAGCGGAAGCAAAGCATGAGAGAACATTATTAAATATATACATTTCCCATCTGGTATTTCTGTTTCCAATTGTATTTATTTTAAATGGTTGCAATAGCAGTTGCTGGTGTTGTTTCCTGTTTCATTTTTGTATTGCCTCTGCGTATTAAAAATGATACTGGGCCTTGCTTCTGAACCTTTTAGAGTCGCAACCCTCAACTATGAAGAAGGTGTTCTTGCCAGCAAGAATATTCCATTTCTTTAATAAACCATTTACAGGTATTTTATATTTGAAATGATTGTCAAATCACCTTTTGCTTCTACTTTGATCCCATTAAGGGGCAATGTAATATTTCAGCATTTGAGATCCAAGAACATATTACAGATACTGACATAAGAGCATTGGGTTTGAAAATACATTTTAAAGTTGCACAAACAATCAAACTGTTGCCTTTGCAGAGCAGCTTTGTGCTGCTCTAATTAAGGAGATGTCACACTCTATTGCTTTTCAGTAGACTTTTGTTATGCATCGAATTGCTGCACAGGAAACACAGTAATTACATACGCTGACACACGGTGAATGATATGCTGTAAAAGGCAGCAAGGATGGTTATTATCACAAAAAGAGGCCTGTCAGGGAGCAGCTGCTGGTTAGCAGAGAATGGGTGGGCATCTCCTATCGCTTTTGCTCAAGTGAAATTTTATTTAAAAATACTTTTACCTTTTTTTTTTTTTACATTAAAAAAGGCCACAATGTATGGTAATATAGCTAAATTGGAACATTTTTGATATTTTTGCGAGTGCACATTAAATGCCATAAACATCTCTAATGCTTCCGAATCAATTCTCCATCATTTTTGTTTCCTTAAAAATGTCCGTAGTTACCTGAGGGTTATTAAATGTTCTGACTCCAAAAGACAAATACTGAATTAGAAGCAGAAAAACATCTATTATACTTAATGGTGTACTTTTAAAGTGCCGTTATCTTCATGAAAACTTACATTTTACACTTAAAAGCAACATTTAAATCTATATTATACTGTAATGCAAGATCCTCACATTAGCACTTGAGTGTTGAAATGAAACACATATTAAATCAGTAGTTGTTAAAGCTGTAACAGCACTCACCTGCAGTATTAGTGTTTAAAATAGTTTTCCTGATGGACCCTCAACTGTGCTACCTTTTTAAAGCAGAGGCGAGGAGTGTCACACTTTTAAAAGTTGACTTTAATGTAGCTAATTGCAATTGTGTAATGCACCTGTAGTTTTACACACTGCCCCTCTCTCTTTATGTACGTTTTCAGGTTATACACTTGATTGCATGGGATGTAGACTCACCTGTTTGAGATGTTAGGACTTAAATGCGAGCTGGAAACGTGCAGTTTCTTGAAAGATGAGATCCTTCAGTGTCTCTTTGGGTAGGTCATCCAGCTCCGTGTCAAACTTGAATGGGGCCTCGGCAACAGGCTACACAGGGAGGCGGAGAGGACAGGGTGATACAGACGCCAAGAAACTTACATTGTGGTAAACACAAGATTAAGTGTCCTCATTCCAATAGTCCTATATAGCACAAACTGACGACTTTCTCACCTCATCTGTTGGGTCGTAATACTGCTCCAGGTAAGGGTGCGCCAGGGCCTCCTCCACCTCGATCCTCTTGTGAGGGTTAAAGGTCAACATCTTGTCCAACAGGTCCAGAGCTGCAGCACAAAGAGGAGAACGCTTGATTCAGTTCTCCTGGTGGAGAGCTTTGTAGGGTGGTGTAAAAACAGGCACCTCCAGATGAACATTAGCAAGACCAAAGAACCAGTGGAGGATCACTAGGGGAGCAGGAAGAGGTCCCTAAACCTCGGACACTCCTCTGTGACCAAGGCGCCAAACAACAAAGGCTGACCCCCATATCAAAAAATAACTTTTCCCCTCTGGTATTAATAAAGGTTTATCTCATCTGAAACAACAATGCTAGCCCACTAGAGGGCACCATTAAGCCCTAAATGGTTACCATATTATTACCAAGTATATAACTAAGAGACTTACTTTCACTCATTTAAAAAGTATAGCTATTTTAACTCAATTCTGAGCTCCCTGAGAGTTTATTTCTTCAGCTTCTGCATGTTTAAAATCTCAATAATCTACATATATTGTAGTTTTGTACCTTGAAACCACAATCAATGCCTCTAGTTTCCCATCTCCAAACGTTGCCACTTGTTTTGCCGGACTGCTGTGCTAGTAGTGGGTAAATGTTTTTTTCTTAATTATAATACAATTCTAGTAATTCCATGATCAGAGGCAACGCTTTAAGCGATTACAAGTTTACCCTGGCTCTCACCTTTGGGATCAGCGTTGGGGAAGAGGCGGTTCCACGGCACTTTGCAGCGTAAAGGCAGCGACAAAAGATAGTTCCTGGCCTTAATGTTGATGATGCAGTTGAGATCCTCCTGAGAGGGAGAGCCCAGGATTCCTGAAGAACAAAGAAGATTTTAGAACATTTGTTTCAGTTCACAAATCTCAGTTAAACTGCTACATGAAAACAGCCCTTGCTTAAAGTTTTGAGTACTTAACAGTCTGAAGGAAACACAAAAGGACAGATGGGACAAGCAATATGTGGTCTAGTACCAAAAAGTACAGCTAAATTATTGAATATTAACAGCTACAAAATCTATGGAGTGGCACCAGGAAGCTATTGGTACTAACTAATGGCACATTTCCACTACACGGTCGGCCTCGGCCACACTCGGTACGGCTCGGTACGGCTTGGCCTTAACAGGGCCGACTCACTTCATGCTGCGCTTCCATTACAGTTTAGGAACTGGGGTAGTTACTATAGTAACGCAGTGTAGGCGGAGCCGTGACGTCATCTTCAATGAGAACTCCAGAAACACAACACAGCCGTTAGCTGTTAGCACTCAGAGCTCACAGCTCCTTATATATGTTCAGAAACTCGACAAAAGTTAAACAAGTACACACCACAGACTGCCTGTGTCATGGTGAATACAGTCGCTGCTTTATTTATGTCTGTATAGGCCGTTGTTGTGAGTGTGGACGGTCGGAGCATATACTGCGTTAGCTTAGCCAATCTCCATTTAGAACACACGCATTTTAAAAGGTTTTTCCCCTGCCGTCTGTCTGCACACTTGACAAAGCATTAATTCATGGTTTTTACTAACCGGTATCAGTATGTTGTTACTTCGGCATCATTTTGAAACGTGTATTACAATTAAATCACGGTCAAATATGTCCATCTTGTTGTAGTTGTAGCCCCCTTGCCAGCGCTCCTCTCTCTAGTTTAGCATACTCAGCCCGACTCAGCCCTGTTTGTTGGCCTCGATAGAACCACAATTTTCTCGGGCCAGAAAAGACGTGGAAAAGTGGCCCCGGGCCGGGCCGGGCCGGAACTAGGCCTAGTGGAAGCGCAACCAAAAACGGGCACGGCACGACACGGCACGCTTAAAGCGAGCTCCGCGCTGTAGTGGAACTGCGCTATAAGTGTGAACTATTCAGACTAGGGCTGCTAATTCAGGTTCTTTTCCCCTGACCAATACAATACAATACAATACAGCTTTATTTATATAGCACTTTAAACCTCCAGACCAAAGTGCTGTACAGGCAAATAAACAAAACAAAAGATACAAAAAGTAACACAGCTCAGCTCACACACCATAAAACAAGTACAAGTAAAAACAATAGACAATTTAAAAGCAATAAAAGCAACGCTCTAAAAGATGTTAATACACTAAGGAGAAGAGGTGGGTTTTAAGAAGCGATTACAGAGAAGCAACGGCCCCCTCTGAGCTTTGACTTGGTTCTGGGCACATTCAGGAGCAGTTGATCTGCTGACCTGAGAGGGCGGTTGGGCGTGTAGGGGTGTAGCAGCTCAGAAAGATATGGTGGGGTCATGCCATTTAGGGATTTAAAAGTAAACAAAAGGATTTTGAAATGAATCCTAAAATGTATTGGTAGCCAGTGGAGCGAAGCCAAAATGGGGGAAATGTGGTCATATTTCCGTGTGCCAGTTAAAAGCCTTGCTGCGGCATTTTGCACCCGCTGCAGACGAGCGAGGGAGGACCCACTGACCCCCATGTAGAGAGAGTTACAGTAATCCAGCCGAGTGGTGACAAAGGCGTGGATTACTGTCTCAAACTGCTGTCAATAGCCAAGCATCGTTAACCTAAAATGTACTGACAATATTAGAACTAAAATGATAACCCAGAGAAGTTCTGCTGGGTTCGTAGACATTTTAAAACAACAACGTTGAAACACTTATCCTAAAAACACTGGAAATAAAAACAATAATTACCCAAAATATGGTTGAGCTGATCCAAGTAGTGCTTCCCAGGAAAGATTGGCCTGTTGGACAACATCTCGGCCAGAATGCAGCCCACTGACCAGATGTCTATGGACTTAGTGTAGCCCTGAGAGTGAGAGAAAAATGTAATGACTAACATATATTTAAAGTTAAAATAGCATTTATTGGTGGACTGTAAAATATGCCAGATTTAGCCATGAAGGCTAATTTCAATCTGCAGTCCCTTGGAGGCTCATTGCATTAAAATAAAACATACAAGAGCACATAAGCACAGACAGAATCACATTAATCTAATCATATAAGCACAATTGAAGCATGATTGCTGCACATGACAGCATGTTTTATAGGGCTGTGCATCTTCACTGCTCTCACGATTCAATTACGATTATCCTGTCAACGATTTGATTCGATTCAATATCACGATGCATCACGATTCATACCAATGCGTTGCATCCTCAATTTTCTATATTACTGCACATGGCTTCTTTTTCATCAATGAATACATGCAGTAAATACATATGAACTCTCTTTTTATTATTTAGAAAGTGCTTCAGAAATCAATAACATAAATGTCTTGACATTAAATTATAAACCAAAATTAATTAATTGTATAGGTCTAGCCTCCCTGTATCTGTGTGTGAAATTGTTCCATCCTCAAAAACAAAAAACTAATACTTCTGCAGTCTAGCTGCAGCGTCTAGCAACGGTCTTCTGTTAAAAAAAAGACACTGAATGTCCTGAATGTGGCATCACACACATGACTTGAGTCTGAACACAGCAGACAACAGGAGTATTTACAATAGCATATAAAAACAAAAATAGTGCATGTGGGTGCACACTTACATTCTCTGTCTTACTGTTACATAAATCCCATGAATGTATGAGATTAAGTTAGCTTCATCATATCTCAATCAGTGATTAAGTGAATAATAAAGTTTCTATCGGGTCACTATCAGCCTGTCACTCATTATTTTCAGGGAGGGGGCGGGGTTTGGAGGAACAGAGAGGAGACGGTGATCGCGGAAGCTTTCCTCCTGCCTTCACAAACTTTACACACGTATATATCGTCTGAAAATAGCAAGAGGACATTCCTACTCTGCAATCCAAGACTTAATTAAATCCACCAAAAACCTGACATGGTGCTAACGAGAGTATTTTTTAAAACATAAATCCATGTGTGTCTGAGCCGCAGCGACACGAGTGATTCAGAGCGGGTCCTTCTGCTGTTGGTTCTGGACTGGTGTTCTTGTGTTGGTGGATAAAGCAGACTGCTCCGTGTTTGGTGCCGCTGTGCCGCTGTCACGTCTGTTCCCTGATCTCTGCGTCACCGACCGATTTTATATTAAAGTGACAGAAAAAAAAAACGTTATTGTAAAGTCGCGGCCGGAAAATCAGGAAGCAACGTTACTACGCTATAATCGATTATGTTCTGTCACTGCATCGATGCAGAATCGTCCACGTCCGCATCGCGATGCATCGTAGAAACGATTAATTTCAACACCCCTAATGTTTTAGATCAGGGGTGCCCACACGTTTTCAGCTTGGGAGCTACTTTTAAAATGACCAAGTCAAAATGATGTACCTACATTAAAAATGCTAAACATATATTTATTTATATATATACACTGAGCAGTGTTTCCCACAGAATTTGATTCTATTGGAGGACGATATTTAATTGTGGCGGCCCGCCACAAATGAATCGATGTATGGGAAACACTGCTGAGTATACCTTATGTTGGTGTAGCTTGCATAACTGCATGAACCCGTATGGCACAATACAACTCAGTACATTGTTGGTCATTACGTCAATTTTATACCCTTTCTTTAGTAGAATTGTATAAATTGGAAGGCTAACTAGGTAATCAGCTCGCCGGTGATTTGCAGCTGGCGCGGTTGACCGCTCATGCGTGGTGAACTGCGTGTTAGAAAAGATGAGATCTCAGACTGGCTTACCTGTACATCAATCAAGTGGCAAATGCCGTAGTAAGGATGGATGATAGGCTAACTTTTCTTTTTCAATGCCATGAGATCTACCCACACTACCTTTGCGATCGACCGGTCGATCGACGTATTGGGCACCCCTGTTTTAGATATATGACCCTATCATCAGCTTAGAGCTGACAGGTGGACAATCTTAGGAAGGTCATACAAACTAAATAACAGAGTTAAACCTTGAGGTACACCAACATCATTAACAACAACATTTGTGAGGTGTCATTTTCTAGACCGACACATTGTTTGTGTCTGTCTGTGAGGTATGATTTTATCTATTACATTACATTTGATGAGCATTTTACTTATACGGATAACTTTTTAATTTGAACCTTATTGTATACTGCATCAAAAGCTTTTCTTCTTTTTTTATCTAGAAAAACAGCCCGACCTTTCTTGTCCAGTTGAGTCTGAATATTTTCCCGAAAAAAAATATGCGCAGTTTTTCAAGTTGAATCATTCATCAAGTTGAATGATTTTCAAAGAACCAATCAGACATAATGCAACAAAAGTTGAATCGCCTCCTCTTCACTTTAGAAACTTAAAAGTAGGGATTTGGGTTTCACAGATCCTATTTTCAGGTGCAAAGCAAAAACCCAAAACATTCACTCAACTTTTAATCCTTGACAGTTAACATTTTATCGGCAGGCTAAGAAACTCACCTTGGAGTTGAGCATGATCTCAGGTGCTCTGTACCAACGAGTGGCTACATACTCTGTTAGGAACCCAGTGTGATCGTGGTCAGGATCAGCCACACGTGCCAAACCAAAGTCACAGATCTGCAGAAACAATGAGTGACAAGACAGGGAAAGAATGAAGCATTAGCAGATACAAGATACAAATAAAATGGATGTCAATTCGTAACAACTCAAAACTGACATTTTCGGATGAATTGTTGTTTTGTACTTAAGAGGGGTACATATTGTACTAATATTTGTAAGTGCTCTTGTTGTCATTGCTTATCAGCAAAGCAGACTCTCAGGGTGAAATACTGTATAGCACTAAAGTGCACATATTCTTAAGAAGGTAATACAATAATAACAGAGATAGTGTGGTCTGAACCATGACACATCTAAACTCTATTATTTCAACCTTGTCCACGTCATTGGAGGCGCAATATAGTCTAAATCAGGGGTCACCAACCTTTTTTAGGGTGAGGGCTACTTTCAAAAAATAAAACAAGTCGGGGGCTACTTTTACTCCTCTTTCTTTCTTTTTTTTGCAGTGTATATATTTAGCACATTTTAACATTATGATATGCTGACCTTTAACCTTTGTGTGCTGTTTGGGTCTGTGGGACCCGTTTTCAGTGTTTACTAAAAGAACATGTATGCAATTTAATTATTTTAACCTGCTTTATTTGGGGGTGGACCTCACATCCTCTAGGGGGGTCCTCACCTCCTCTAGGGGGGGACCTCACCTCCTCTAGGGGGGGTCCTCACCTCCTCTAGGGGGGTCCTCACCTCCTCTAGGGGGGGTCCTCACCTCCTCTAGGGGGGTCCTCACCTCCTCTAGGGGGGGTCCTCACCTCCTCTAGGGGGGTCCTCACCTCCTCTAGGGGGGTCCGGGGGCATGCACCCCCGGGAAGATTATTTTTAAATGTTGAAGTGAAATGCATCAATCTGGAGCACTTTGAGCACAACATGAATTGATGGAAACAGCTCTCATCACTCAGATGAAAGAGAGCTGTATACTTTTCAATAATCCAAACATCTTTAGAATATGATCACAACCAATAACAAATCATTTAAACTGGTTTATTCTTATCTTATGTTACCTAGTTAGCATTCTTTCTTTTTCTTTATGCTTATTTTACTAATCACTCCCCTTTCAAACTGTTTTTTGTTTTTTTTACTGTCCTATACACATTGGAATGATTTCTTACTTTATCTATATTAAATAGATAAAGGTGTGCTCTCTCTAGCTCTCTCGCTCGCTCTCTCTCCCTCTCTCCCTCCCTAGCTCTCTCGCTCGCTCTCTCTCCCCCTCTCTCTCTCTCTCTCCCTCCCTGCCTCCCTTCCTAGCTCTCTCGCTCTCTCTCTCTCCCTCTGTCTCGCTCGCTCACTGAGGCTGTGTGCTCCTCCGTGGCGATGACGGCTTGCGTTAAAAAATTATAATAAACATATTTGTAAAGTGGGGGGACACAAACGGGATTTCGAAAAGAGCGGGGGACATTTCCCCCCTGTCACAGGTGGAAATTACGCCATGCGTGTGTGTGCGTCAAGTGCAATAAATATATATGCAAGTTGCAACACACACAGTAAAACTCTGCCCCCCATGTGTTGTATAGGCTGGCACGACTAGGCTGCTCAACGGGGCTGATGTGTTGTGTAGATTCTGCCAGAAGGAAAATCAGCAGGGAGGTGCCACATTGCTTTTCTTCCCGACTGCAACGCTGGTCCCGCAAATCAAGCAAGAACGTGATTGGTCGATATTCATTGTGGGGGTGGGGGGAGGAGGGGTGTTAGATAGATATAGAGTTGTAGTAAGTAGATAGAGTTCGCTATGATTGAGGTTTCGTTTATGCATAGGGTAGATTCTTTTACATTTCCTTTTTTGTTTTGTGTATTTTATACATTTTGGATTTGCTTGGCGAGCTATTTTTAGAACATGCCCCGCGGGCGACTCACGTTGCCCCTGCGGGCGACCAAGTGCCCGCGGGCCCCGTGTTGGCTACCCCTGGTCTAAATCATTTCCGTTCTCACCCTTCCCAAGCCCTTGACAAATAAACAGCGCCACTGCTTCCCAGAGGGCACTAAAATAACTCTTAACCTGTGGCCAAGAGGCAACTCGACATAATGTCCTGCTTGCACGTATCTCTGCAAGGATTAAACCTACACAGTGTGACATCTGGAGGTGGAGACTGCTGAGATGTGAACTCTATCTTATATTAATATGTTCATATGCATGAAAAAAATATGATATGACAACAATAAACTTAGATTGCTCTTTTTTTGAACAAATACAAAAAGTGACACGTTATGTCATTTATTATTAAATAATTGTTTGGGATGTTAGAGGTGTTGGTAATGGTATTAGTTTGGTATCAAGATATAGGCAGGTATCAAATTAAACTCATAACTTTAGTATTGTGACATCGTTAGTGCAGAGAACACAGTGCCGATGTAAATTGCCAGGAAACACTGACCAATAAGAGCAGACTGTGCTTTTCTGGGATTGGGGCTTAAGAAGACATGCTCTAAAACACTGCATTTTATTAACCTTAAAAGCATGTAAACAAAATCAAAAATACAAATATGAACCTGATAGTGAGCATTATATTTTTCCCATAAGAGGGTTTTTCACGCTGACAAAATTAAGTTTGGGATGATATGACTTTAATTGGTAAGTTTTGGCATTAAATATGAAACAACATATGTATAATCAGGGACTTAAAACAGGCTTTCAAATCAGCCCATTCAGTTTGATTCCTGTTCATTTGTCTTTGAGCAACTACCTTGAGATCACAGGTGGTGTTGAGCAGAAGGTTGGAGGGCTTCAGGTCACGGTGCAGGACGTTGGCAGAGTGGATGTACTTCAGCCCTCTCAGGATCTGGTAGAGGAAGTAGCAGATGTGGTCGTTGCTCAGGTGCTGAGTCTTAAGGAGCTTGTACAGGTCGGTCTCCATGAGATCCTGGACAATGTATCTGCACAATTCCAGGTTAAAGAACTTCTCATTTTAAACCTGGGCAATTTGTTTTATAATTTCCACATAGTCATGCAAAATAACATCTCAAGGTTTCAGCGTTGGGCAATCAACTGTAAAGTGACAAAAAGTGACATTATGATAAAAAGAAATGGTCATATCAACATGAATAAAACGATAAATCAATTCCTTCATACAGACAGCTCCTTACCTCTGGAGTTCGACAGTTTATTTGTACTGCCCAGCCCTAGTATCTCAACAAAATGGAGGTTTTACCACCACACTGAAATTGGATGTTGTAAGCATTGCACAGAAAATGAAATGCTTTGCATCATGTAGCTTGACAATTATCCTTTTTTTGTTGTTCCTGCAGGCTGGCAGTGCAACTAAAAAAAGCCAAACTGCTGACTTGCATAGTTTTGTGGGCAACCTCTCAACTCAGTCAAATCTAAAATTACCCATGGTGGGTAAATGAGCCGTGCTAGTATAGTTAGAATGTACTGAAGCCAAGTTTAAAATGGTTTTGTTTTGGTGAATTCTCATCTTATCTGGCAAGCAACAATAAGTGAGCTGGTTAGATGCAGGGATTGGTCAAATCCATTTCTTTACGTAAGGCAGAGTGTACAACTACACAGTGTTTGCATTATAAAACAGTAACTATGCAGCTTCTATTGCTGCCGGGCTATAGTGATGAGTGTCTCTGCCAAATATATGGCGACAGGTGGCTATTATGTAATAAAGTGCAACAGAAAACGTTTATTCAAGCACAAATGCTGCCGTTTAGGACCAAGTAGTGTCTAAGCTTTTGAATTAAACTGCACATTAATAACAAAACACATTCAAACCATGAGAAGTGTAAGTAAAAGGATACACGTCCTTCATCTGGTCAATGGTAGGTGTGCGGATGATGTCGTTGATGCTGATGATGTTTTCATGTTTGAAGCGCAGAAGGATTTTGATCTCTCTCAGGGTGCGTTGGCAGTAGGTCTGGTGCTCAAAAGGGCTGATCTTCTTAATGGCCACACGTATCTTGTTGTCTCGTTCATAGGCAGAGCTGGATAAAAAAAGAAAGAAAAAGAACCCACATTAGACAATCATTTTTAAGTAGAAGAATACTAAAGGAGCCATTACAAAAGACCCAGCATTACCAAACTTATTTTCACCCATGTGTCTCCACCTTTAACTTCCTGTTTTGTGCTTTTGAACAGATTTTTGTTTAGCCAAAGTGCATCTTACATATATCCAATAGCATTGCTACAGAAAAGATTGATAGCAGCAATAAATGCCAATACATCCACTTTCTATATGGTTAGGATACCACACAGAGCTGCGATGTGAGCAACTGCCTGGTAAGTCCAAACTGCAGTAAGGAATAAATGATCCACTGACATGAAAGAACATAAAACTTCACATCCCTTCTTGCTGTGTAGACACCACCTCTGGGACTAACGCTGCTTCCTTCCTGTTGTTTGTCAGTGGAAAGCTTTTAATGTTGCCGCTTAAACCTCTGATAGTGTGGAGCAGAAAACAATGAGGCTGCTGCATCTGTTAAATTCAAGTACAATCAGTAATGTAGGAGTGGAACAAAATTGCCAAACACAGAAAGTGTTGATCTACATTTGAGCTACTTAAGTATTGAAACCTGAGAGTTTACCACGATGACACAGCCCAGTGGAGTTTAGAGACCATCTCTGCTTAGCTACCAAACAGGACATTGCACAGGATAAAGCCACTCTGCACACCGCAGATCTATGCCAGATGAATAGCTTGATCGAATAAGCTCACCTCATTGTGGTTTCCGACTCCGTTTATGACTATACTACAAAAGTGCAGAGTATGATGTGTTGTGCAAATCAGACAATAAAAAGGTTTTTATTGTAGAATGGACCATGAGCACCATTACATGTTTAAATGCAGTCCATGGTAAAACATTGTGGAAATACAAAATAAATCAGTGCTTTACAAAAAAATATTTTGAATTATACTAAACTATCAAGCATGAGATAACATCTAGTAGTGCATAATTGTTCACTTAATCCTACTGAGGAATCCATTGACTGAGTAATTAAGCAAAAAGCATTTTTTAAATTTTATTAAATGATTTAATTTTTAGTATATTGTACTTTCTATGAACCACTTTCTATTCTTTGGAAATGTTCAAGATATACATTTGAGGATTTTAATTTAATTTTAAGTACCAGAAAGGCTGAGCACTGACTTTGAATCTTAACTGCATGGACGTAGAGGAAACAATATTACAAAGTATTGATTAAAAGTGAATTAATTGCAGATAATCTTTTCCAATAATCGCTCTCAGTAGTGTCTGTGATTTGACAATTCATCTTAAAGAGTGGTAAGAACAACTGGGCTCTATTTCACAATATTGCCATCTGTATTTTCAATAAAGAAAAGCAGAACATATACAGGAAATGATATAGGAAGTCTACATGCATGCAATGCCTTAGTCCTGCAGATATCACAATAAAGCCAGATTCTACGGAGCCCTGGAGGGTTCATAGAGAGAAAAATAAATAAAACGAGGCCACGCTTTATTAATTTGTGCGCACGAGATGTAATTCGTGGCCTCAATTTAAATAAAACGAGGCCACGCTTTATTAATTTGTGCGCACGACATACTTTCTCGTTCGCACGAGATGTTTTCAGAAGATATTATGATAGTGGCGTTCGTTCCGGTGCACTCCGACAGCACTTAGCACTAGCCTACATCGAGATTAAGATTAAACTAACTTCTTTCACTTGGGAATACACATATGGAGTTAGCCAGATGTGTGTAAATTACTGTTCATGGTCATTTGAAAACAAATGCCGGTGTCGGACACACACATACACCGAACACACACACCCACACAGAGCTGAGCCGAGCAGAGCACAAACACACACACATCATGTAGCATTTCACGTTTCCATAGCAACAACAACTTCCTGTCAACAGCATAAACTCGCCTTCAAAATAAAAGCATCTAAATAAGAGGAAGTTAACCTAAATTACATTTAAGACATATACAACTGCAACGAAAGTAACACAAACAATGTCATATCCTTTTCAGTGTCACAGAACACAAATTGGGTTATTTACACATCATGCGCCCTGGTGACCGGACATCTCCTTCATAAAACGAGTAATAGGAGGAATAATAATCGGGCAGTTCGGTGTGTGTGTGTGTGTGTGTGTGTGTGTGTGTGTGTGTGTGTGTGTGTGTGTGTGTGTGTGTGTGGCTAAAACGTAGCAGCCTCGATCTCTATTCAGCTGTTCTGAAGGTAAACACAGTGAAGGCGCTGCGTAAAAGACACAGCTCTCTGCGTGCAGATAGCTGATACTGTGAGAGTCATGGACATGAATTCATAGATCAAAGCAGACTGGTTCACAGACTTCTCCGAGTTTGAAATATATCTCAAATAATAATAATGTATGCACTGCCATTTTTCTGAGGAAACTAGAATAAAATCAAGAAAAAGTACAGTACAGAACTTGAAAACTCCTGTGATTGATACGGTGCAAACAAGAAAGACATCCCAGCATGCCATTTGCCATTAGGGGGGAGAACATTTGGGTAAAATCTAACTTTTAGCAGCTTAAGGATGACGCTTAACATTGACTTAATTGCATCAACATGTATTAACCTGTTCAATGATCACTAAGTTCTTTCGGGATATTGGATTTCCCTCTTCCCACTCTGCTGAGGATGGGCGTGTGTGTATGTGTGTGTGTTTTAAGAGTTTGAGAGTGATGATATTGTCGTACAAAACACAGCTTTCCAAACTAATGATTTTAAGCTAAGTTTTACATGTATACAAATGACTGTGTGTTTACAATCGGCAGAACAATTGCTATATTCCACTCTAAAATGTTGGCCGTGCCCACGGTGAAACACCTCCTCCACACAACTCCAGGTACAGACATGTCCACTGTTACATTTCAGTTTCTTTTTTCGGGCTTAATGGCTATACAAACTTTCCCACATTTACTCAGCGTAGAGATTTTCTGAATTCCCACACAGGTTTGAAACTACGTCTTGCATGCCATTTCATTACTGTAATAAATTCAATACAAAAAGCGAAAATGAATATGTTTGGTTGTTACTTTTAAGTTCTCTGACTATTGCTTGCATATTCACTGTAGGTGTTACGATAAATGAGTGGATTTAAGATCAAAACAGCACATGGAGGTTTAAATGCAATTAAAGAATACAAGACCATTTGTTATAAACTCCTAAAGAATGACAGTTTATATTATAGTCTTGTGTCGGTTGCACAATCTGGCTAGACATTGTCAGTGAACAGGAACTGACACACCAAAACTCACCACCTACTGCCAAGAAATGCTAATTACCGCTTCCAGCGTCTAAGATTTAATTGATTTCTAAGTCATCTGCTGTCAAACAAGCTGCTGCCATTTGGAGCAATACAAAAAATGAGATTGTCCAAAAAAAGCTGTGCCTCCAGGTTTCATCTTTTACATTTTCAGCCAATAGTTATTTTATTCCTACACATTACAAATGACAGGCATGACTGAAAAACACCCACATAGTATGACAAAATAAGAAAAGTAGTTGCTATAGTGATGGGGGTTGTAGGGACTCAAATGTAAACACAAGTGTGCCAACCTTCTGTGAGAGAAATATTAGTGACCTTCCCTTCAACTTGTGAGAGAGGAATGTGTGTGTGTGTGTGTGTGTGTGTGTGTGTGTGTGTGTGTGTGTGTGTGTGTGTGTGTGTGTGTGTGTGTGTGTGTGTGTGTGTGTGTGTGTGTGTGTGTGTGTGTGTGTGTGTGTGTGTGTGTGTGTGTGTGTGTGTGTGTGCGTGCTCCATGTAACTGCAGATACCCTCACGTACAAAGCAGCGGGGAGCTACAGCTAAAATATGATTCAGGGCAAAAACGCTATGGCACGAAAACATCTACAGAATTTGTGTAGAGCAGTCAATGGTATACAGTAGGCTCTACCAATTGTTTTTGACAAGGCACACTGTTTTGTCTGCATGACATAAACTAAAAAGCACAATGTCTTTACAACCCTATGCCATATACAACTGTATCAATAAATGAAAAGCACATTTGTTTTGCATACATTGAAGTAAAGATCAAATGCATGCCTAATTAGGTTTTTAAATAGATGTAACCTAATATATGATAGGTTAAAAGAAAATCCTTTTATAAATATAGAAACACTATAAATATGTTGTCTAAATAGGGTGCAAAAAGCTTGCAGTGCTTTCATGGGAAAGAAAAATCAGTGGCTGTGCAAAGTGGAGAGAGAACACTATCTTAGTTCACAGTACATTTCATCATGTTTACTGAGGCAAGCCCTTCAGTTCCTTGTAAGTTTGTTAAGGCGTGTAACAGAAGGAGCTTTTTGAGGAAGTACAAAGTACACTGAGGTTGAGTTTGTAGTATTAATATGCTCGCCTTTGGGTACGGCGAATGTAGACCTTCTGAGTCATGTCACTGAAGGGTGGACTTTCATTCTGTGAATGGCACTCTCAGGCGTTCAGGACTTTTACTGATGTATGTTAGTCTGGTGGGGAGTAGACCACCACCAGCTGATTGTGTCCCCTGTCTAATACAGCTGACTGTAATTCCTCACTGTTAAAAAGCAGAAGATTACATTTTAGGAAAAGAGAAACACTGGTTGCTGCTACACCGATGGGATTACTTTCTGGTTTTCTTAGTCTTTTATGACTCGAAAATTAATTATTTCTTGACTCTTTACTAGCAATCAGTATTAGTGAACTTCAGATTTGGGAAATGATGGTGGATTAACTTTTTATGAACCGATCTATTCAATTAAAGCCTTCAGAAAAGCAATTTTAGGAAAAACTGTTTGCTGCAAACAGATGGGATTACTTTTTGAATTCATTCCAATTTCAAAATGAAGGATCTATTGACTCTGTACTAGCAATCGGATTACGTGAACTTCAGATTTGGGAAATTAAAATTGATTAAAAAACGTTTTATTTGATTTATTATGGACCAATCAATTAAATTGATGATAGGCAGATCAATCAAGGACGACTACAATCATGACCTGCCGCCTA